CGCAGTCTGCTGGGCCCACCACCACTGGTTTTTCAGCTGTGGAGCCGGGCTGTGGTGTGCTGGGACACGTGCTGACATCGGTCGTCTCCTTGCTGGGACCCAGCTCCGGTATCAGCAGCTCAGCTGGGCTAAACCTCTCCGAGGGCTCCACAAAGCCCGGCCGGGGCAGGCCCTGAGGGTGGGATGTGTTTCTGGAGAAGCACCTCATGCCAGGGCTGTGTGCCAGCGCCTGCAGGGGCACAGGATGTGGCCTGACCTGCACCTTGTGTCTCACCTGGCTTGTTTCACTGGTGGCAAAATAGACAGCTTTGCTACCCACCGGCTTGGGCAGGGGTGGGAAGAGGAGATGGCGGGCCCTGGGGAGGGGGTGGATGGGGAGGGGGGTAACTGAGGAGGTGGGGAGGGTAACTAGGGAGGTGGGGATGCCACCATCACCTCTTTTTGCTCAGCTGGTAGACGGCCGCCATGATGGGAAGGCAGAGCAAGAGGCCCAGGTACTTCAGGTGGGATTTCCATGCTGCTCCCTGGGGACCTGGGGACAAGCACAGCCGGGTGGTGGCATTGGGACACAGGAGCCATTTTGGAATGAGACCGAGCACCCCATGGGGACCAGGGAGGGGATGGGGTTTCCAGCCATTACCCAGCGTCTTGGTCTGGAAGTACCACCAAGGGCCGCAGGTGCCCCCACTCTCCACCGTCACCTCCCGAACGCCCACTCTGTAGATCGTGCCAGGCTGCAGGTTTTGGAGGGTGTAGTGCGATGCTGTGGCATCGACTTCGGTGTCTGGGCAAACGATAATGAGCAGGCAGTAGCCCAGTGGTCACCCAGCCTTCTCCTGCCCCATGGGGATGGAGGGGTCCCACTCACAGGTCACATTGTCTCCCTCGGCCGCGTGGCAGAGGAGGTATTTGGCCAGCGCCCCAGGACAGGCAGCGCGGGGGGACGGGCTCCACTGGAGGACAACAGCGTCATCCTCAGCACCAGCATCGATGTGGATGGGCACGGCCAGTGAGGCTGCGCGTGATGGTGAGGGGTACAAAGAAAAAATAATGGAGAGATGTTTTGGGATCCCTCCTTTTTGCAGTGAAGCCGGGTGTGGATGCTCCGCATTGCCATACGTTACCATTGCTGGCGTAGTGGTGCTGCAGGGCGAAGGTGGCCCAACCCTGCGCCGGGGCCCAGCCGTGCACGGCGAAGCGGTAACATGCCGGTGTGTCTAGCACTCCTGGGGCAGGAACCGGGGGTGCCGGTTAAATCCACCCAGGATCTGGGCTCCCAGGTTTTGGGGGGACAGGCAGGGGGCTCAGGGGTCTCCCTTGCCTGTCTCCACGTGGATGCTTTTGGCAGAGAAATCTTGTTGGACACAGATGGATTTAGGGGCTTCCGCCAGCGGCTGCTGCTCAAAGCAGTTGGCTAAACCGGAGCTCAGCGCTTCCCACTGCGCCATCACGGTGCCGCCGGCCACACTGACATCCATGAAGCCGATATCTGGAATGAAACAGGGGGTGCAAGTGATGACTGCCATCCCACTGGATAGAAAATAACCCTTGAGGCTGCCAGTACCTGCACTCTGCTCTGCCGGCACGTGGAG